AGCATATCAATCCACAACTCATCGACAAACAATGCCACAAGATATAAAAAAAACCTCAACAAAACCCCCATTGTATGCAGAAGAATGAAAGTGTGCAAAAAAAAGAAGCAAAACCCTAACGGAAGGGTGCAGAAATAATAAAGAAAATCGCATCAAATTTCACAATATCGCACCTTATTAGAATCGAACAATGACAGAAAGGCGAAACTACAAATAGCAGCGAACAAAGACTTTCGAAACCAATATGCAAAAATTGCGATCGGAAGAGTTTTTGAATGAAACAAAAAGGCGCACACAGCTAACAAGAAGTTATGGGAAAAACATACACACCTCCTCCTCATACCCTCTTACCCAGGACTCAGGCTAATCGGAGCACTCCACTCAATATAGTAGGCATTGTGTAATAATTTCATAAATAGTTTATCCAAAAGCAAATGGCTGAATGCCATCGTGCCATCGCCTCACAATGCCAACTAAATAGTTTCGCGAAAAAAGAGAGATGAAATGGTTGGGTGAAATTTTTTAGAAAACACAATCGGCTTCCCTCACAGGCAACGCATCCTTTCTAATGCTAAGAAGGCAGCCTGCCACAGGAACGCGAGCATCTTGGGTCGCATCTGAGTCCGGGGTGCGCATCCAACAACCCCTGCCAAATAGCATATGCCTAGCTGCGTCCTTCCGCAGCTCATTCTGGCGATCCTGTGTGTGTGTTTTGATTTTGTCTAGAGTTTAGAAACCATAAATCTATTGATGGCATTGATGCCGCCTCTCTGCAGCACCAAATTATCTTTTGGCATTGAAATCACACACACAGGCACACACACTCATATTTAAATGAAAGTAGTTTCTATTTGCATAATGCTCTAGGTTTCGGTTTGAAAACGAAAGGATCTACACTGAAAAAAAGTGCTTTGAGAAGAACTGATGGGCGCGTTCAGCAAGTCGCAGCGATATGGGATTTGTGATCGATCATTACCGATTTCAACTGCTGACCGCTCCGATTTGTGATTCATTTTAGTAAAAATGTCAATTCCAAAAACAAAAAAACATTCGGGAAAATATTGTGATTTCAGCGTTGGATTGCGATTGCTATTGCGTTTTGATAAACGAATCACAAAATATATTACAATTCCACATTCTTAAATATTTTGGGATACTGTTGATAATTGAATTATGCTTTGATTATAAAATAAATAGTCTTATAGTCAGCTTAAATCAATGTATCTACAACAAATCTAATCCAACACAGCAAATAATTTGCACACTAATTCCCGAAACTTTCAAGGTATGACGAAAAACATATTTCTATCTAAAAGGTTATTTTTTTAATACAAAAAAAATTTTCTTTTGATTTACTTTAAAAGTCTGCAAGAAAAATAATTATGTATATTTTAATATGTTTTTTAAAATTGCAAATATCGGCTTGCAGCTCGATTTTTAGTCTTCTTTTTTACGAAAAGTTTGAAGACAACAAATGTAATACTAAGAACTAAAAACAATATCTCAATGGCAGTGTTTTAATTCCGGTTTCAAGTAGCTTTTTGCATAAAGTTTTCAATGCTTTCGATTCCCCAAACTAAATATGAAGAGACTGTTTTAAGTCCCATTGAGGATCTTATTTGTTTTCACGGTTTTTTTTCAATTTCTTTTTAAAATATTAATACTCCAAAGTGTACGTTTTCTATTTAATAAATTTTGGAAAATTATTTTTAAAACAATATAATTAAGTTATTGGTTTCTTAAAAATAATACTCGTAAATTTCTACTTTCTGAACTTTTGTTTTAGTACGTTTTGAGAATATTGTGTTCAACTTTGCAGTTAGATAAAATTATTGTTTTCAAGACTTTTCTCGCCGTTTTTCAATTCTAAACGAAACTTAAATTATTTGCAGTGTATGCCTAACTTTTTTTATGATCGACTCCTTTTCCCAAACTTCTAGAATTCTTACCTCAGGCATTGCATTTTAATTATCATATCGATCATTGTTGGCCAACGAAGCAAGAAGATAGAAAAAGTGTGACAGTCAGCGAAGTCCTTTGGCATTGTCCTCATTACGATGCACATCAGGACACACTGCCTGGGAAGATGCCAAGTTTTTTTCTCATAGTTTACATGACAATGCCTGCTCTGATGGTTTCAGCACCCCAAGAGCTCAGCAATCCCAATGATGATGACGATGCCGATGATTGTGATGATCAGGTAAACAAGAGACGGAGACAGCGGACTGGGATACCAAACAATCCGGCGATCATTAGTGCATTTACAATAATATATTGATATGCTAATCAATAGCTTGAGATCTGGCTAACAACAACAACAACAACAATGCTGCTGCTTTGTTGCTTTTATGATCGATGCGATCGTATCGAAAAGTGCAGACTAATAAAACTGGGAGGGTAGGAAAATCAAATCATTTATCAATTAAATTATTGGCAAACATTGCGCCCTCGAGCTATAACTACATACCTATATATGCCATTAGGAGAGATCTTGCTGGAGAGGGTTGCCAAATTTTAGTTTCTTTCTTTCTTACTATTGTATTTTTTTTTTTTTTGCACAATCACACAATTGGCAAATGATCGATTACCGCTTGTCAACCTTTTTTTCGAAATCTTTGCCCGTTGCGGTGTGTTGCCAATTCTTCAGCTGCTTTGTCTGCCGATCTTTGCCGATTTAGCGATGATTTGTTGGTTTATTGTCAACTAGGGGTGTCACATTTGGCAAAAAAAAAGAAGAAAGATAGCGTTAGAAAAAGGGTCGCCCGTGCCAATTATTGTTTTTATTTTTTTGTCAGAACCCTTTTTGAGGCGCCGCCAGCAACAGAGGATCCCAAATTCTTTGGCAGCTTGTTGACAAACACTCCATTGTTTAGACCCAAAGACCCATTGAGTGTTAACCTCTTTGTATTGACTTGGAGTGTGGGTGCATTTTTTCTCACAACTCGTTTAACTTTTATTGACTCATAAAAAGATTTAATGTACAATATGATGGCACATAAAAAGATCGTCAAATATTGTTTGATTCTCTTTTTTCGCCATTTCGCCAATTTTATTGCTTGTTTTGGGTTGCTTCTTCGGTTCTTTGTTGTTCTCTTTTTAACACAATTCCCAGCTATTAATTATTCTTTTCAAATGGCCCAGACACCTGTTGGGGAACTGGTTTTTTGACTTATACATATTTATTTTGGGATTGATTCTTTTTTATTTACGTGTATTTGGCATGAAATTATTCTCTCTTTTTTGGTGACTTTTGATTATATAGCTTTATTAGCCTTAAAATTAGTTGACCTACTCAGTCTAATTTATATAGAACTCACATAATTTTTCATTTCAAACGCAAGCACGTTCTAGTGGTTGCTTGAAGTACTTTTAAGATCATTTCCGTGATCTTGTAAACTTCAAATTCAACAAATTACGCTAAATGTATTTTAAGCCGCATCTTCAACAAATGCGAAAACAATTCAGCTTGAGGGGTAAAAACCCAACAATCACTCAACATCAAGCACTATTTCCAGTAACTCGGATTAATTTATACATGTTTTGTCATATTTATAGTCTGTATCCGCAAAGTAAAAGTAAATACCCACAACAGCTTCTTCCACGCGTTACGTATTGATTGTTGAAATCGGGGAACATTTTAGATTTCACCAACAGCTCCTTTCGCTAATGTCTTAAAATAATATTCAAAATTGTATAAATAAACTCTTCTTTCACTAAGTAGGTTCCTAGCATTTATCTATTTCATTTGTATTTGCAAAAGTAAAGAGCCAAAAGAGTTGCGTTTTGTTTTACACACGACTCAAAAGTTATCAAAGCGGTTTGCTAAACACTCTCATAATCGCAATAGGTCTGCGCTTATAATTCATGTGATAATTAATGTTAATAGAAAACTTCTTATATACTAATAGCGATAAGATATGGCATTTCGATTAGCGTTTTTTATTCTCTTTTATTTCTCTTTTAAGTTTCAGTTATCCAATTAAATTTGCTAAATAATTAAAATATTATGATAATAGAGCGCATATTTGCATTTATTTTCAGATTCTAAAGTTTAATTTAAATTGCAAATTCAATTAATTGTTATAGTTTAACATTTGATGCATAAAATCATATTCCATTGTTGCGAGTTATGATCTTCTAACCTAGTCTTTATTCCGCTCAAGGAAATAGAAAACATGTGTGAACTCATATTTTGGATACCGAAATATCATGAATTTACGAAATTTACGGTTTTGTTATAATTGAAAACACAAAAATAAGCAAGAACAAATAAAACAATCAGGCATTCTGGTTTCGGAATTACTACTTATATAAAAATATTCTTTTCTCAAAAAAGGGAGGATTCAATATTGTATTTCATATCAGTATATAAATTGTAGTTTAATATTTTCTTACCAAATCTTTCGTGAAGTTCGTTAGATAAGCAAATTAATCATAAATCCCTAGTCGCTGCGTTATTCATTGCAGAGCCAGCTGCCTCTGTATTCAAATTCACGAACATACAATCACTTTTTCGAAATCGACTTCGTTCTCACTTTCCACTCTTCTTTTCAATGAAGCGTTGCTGCAGTTTGTGGAAAGTGAGTTCGTAGCTGTGCATGTATTCTTAGCATTAAGGACATAAATCTCTTATGTCGCCTTAAGGACAATGAACACCTCAACTGCGACAACCGTCCGTCGGTTTCGTCTGCTGTTGCCCGAGTTAAGCGGATTACTTGCATTTTTCTGCACCGTTGCACCTTTTGATCCATTTTCTGATAAACATAAGCCCTGCGGCTGTGGTTGCATATTCATCGAAATTATTAGAAAGGGAAGAATCGAATGCTATAGGAAAGTATGGAGAGACAAATGAGAACTTCGTACGCAATTTATAAATTATTTTATTTTTTATTTACATCATAAAAATTCTCGAATGCAATCATAATAATAATTATTATACTAAATATTTTTACAGCTTAGGTTGTTGGGCATAAAATATGTTCAAAAAACTTATAGGTCCATAAATGGGGTAACTATATGTTGAACTAGGTATGTGTGTGTGTTTCAGATTAAAATAAATATCCATATTTGTAAAAACCAAGTTGATACTTTATTTTTGTGTATTGTTCATACTCTATATAGTAGTATGCAAATAGGTATGTACAAATAAGTTTACTATCGCAGTACTTTGTACGGCACCTATGATAAATAGTAGGGGATTCGCATATAAAAAGATTGGTTTTAAACAAAATTTTGAAGTACTCAAAACATTTCACAGAAATCTAGTATTCAAGTACTTTAGAATTTTGTCGGCCGATTGTAATTACAAATTGTTTCGAGGTCCTTAGAATTATATAATTAATGCTTAATGTTTGTAGCTTATTTAAAAACCTGAGTTTGTCTATAAAATGTAAAAATAGGCGCAATGCGGATGGCAAAGATATATGCATATAGAGAGGAGGCGATTTAGAGCATGAGGTTTCAAATTTGTACACATTCTCAAAGGCAGTGATGGGAATTACAGAAACTAGAAAAATGAACGGAAGAGTGTTGCAGAATAGATTGAACTACAGGCAGGGGAGTAGCAAAAATGTGATTCCTTGGTGGATTCCTAATTATAAACTAAAAGCGTTAAGGTAGCCACAATATTTTCTGATCGTATACAATTTTCAATTTCAAACCTTAGGCCAAGGAACCACCTGAGTGCCAACTCATGAGATTATGAAACCAAACATCTAGAAGCCCTTCAGCAACAATCGAATACCAACCACACTGAGCGGCCCTAACTAACTCTAACTTATAAAGCCACGAAGTCGCTAACTTTTGAACAATGATTGCAGGTCTGGATTGTGAAATTGGAAAGCACTACGAATGTAACTCATTGCTTAGATTGGAGAGGAGTTAAGTGACCAGGAATCCTGGTCTGCTGAGTGACTGGATCATTGAGCAGAAGTTAGCGCCAGCAGAGCTTTTTTAGGCTTACGTATTACCCCTTTGTTGTCATCGTTGCTGCTGCTTTTGAGTTTCTGCTTGTAGATGCCTTTGTTCGCGGCCATGCCTCCTGTACTATTGCGCCTTCTCCTTGCCAGCGCCGCCGCCGGCGGTGACACTTAACCCCAGAAGATGATCGCCGGCGATGAGGCCAGCAGCTGCTGCTCCCGGCTGATGCGCATAGTTGCGTATCTGGTGTAGTGAGATGAGCTGCGTGGGAAATGCGGCAGCAGCGTTCTGCTGATAGAGATACGCGGCCGAGGCGGCTGGTGGGCGTTGTTGCAGATGCGTGGGCGTGGCGACGAGCGGCGTAAAGGCGGATGTGGTCTTCACGTCGTACGGCAGACCGGGGGAATGTGCTGCCTGTTGCTGTTGTTGTTGTTGCTGCTGCTGTTGTTGTTGCTGCTGCAGTTGATGTTGCGGCGTGGACTGACGCATGACCAGATCCTCCCCCTCATCATGCGGACTCTGCGAATGATTTGGCGTATCACCGCCATTGGCTAGGCGCTGATGATGCTGTTGCAACAACTCCTGCTGCTGCTGCTGTTGCTGCTGATGCTGTTGCAAGGCGCTAAAGTTGTAGCCGCTTTGGGGCAGCTGCTGTATTGCCGCGGCTTGCTGTTGTTGTATGGCCTCCGCAAGCGTGGCCGCCGCACTATCGGCCCCCATTTTGGCCCAATAGGCGGCATTAGCATCGCCGGCCACAGCCGCAGCATTCATCACCTGTCGCTGCAGATTCAGACCAATGCCTCCGGGCGGCACATGATGCTGCACGTTTAGCGCGCTTGCTGCACCGCTCGCTGTTTGCCGCTGTTGCTGCTTTTCCACCTTCTCGGCGTGCTTCTGCAGATGCTTTTGCAGATACGTCTCCTGCGTGTAGGATTTGCCACACAAATTGCAAATGTGCGTCTTCAGATGTTTGGAGTCCTTGTGCTTGGGTATATGCTCGAGCAGGGTCAACTCATCGCCGAAACACTTATAGCAGGAGTTGCACTTAAAGGGCTTATCCGTTTGATGGCAACGCGAATGTGATTGCAGATTGGAGAGTTGCGAAAAGGCCTTCGGACAGCCGGCATGGCGGCACTTATAGGGTTTATCGCCCGTATGCGTCCTGATGTGCTGCTGTAGATGCGACAATTGCGTAAACTTTCGCTGACAGATCTCACAGCGATAGGGCTTGATGCCCAGATGGATGCGCGTATGCTGCGAAAGGTACGACGAGTTGGCAAAGGATTTCGTACAGGAATTACATTTATACGGTTTCGCCTGATCCCGCTGCTCCGGCGACGCACTGCTCTGATGATGACGCGGCGGTTTATGCGCATGCTCCGCGGCAGCATTTGGATCGTACTGCGGAAAATAGAAAATGGAAAATTAATTCAAATGAATGATAGCTTATTGAGGATGGCCCCTTATCTGTTGCCTTATCATGTGTGTATAAAAGTAGTAGTATTTTTTCAAATTGTTTTAATTGAATGCATATGAACATGTTTTTGTATTACAAATTATTTCGACTTTTGTTAAATGTCCTAAATATTTTAGAAAAATTTCTTTCGAAATGAACAATTATTTTTAAATGCTCCATTTTGTTCAGAATATAAGAATAATGTGTGTATACTTGTATGCTTAGTGTAAAGCCTCTTAAGTAACTTACGACATTTTTAGAGTTAATTAGTTTTTTAGACAAGACGCGAGATGGATAACGGACATGTCTATATCGAAAATAAGTATAATGGACTCATAAATCGCATCTTCAATTATATTTTCGGCTTACAAAGTAACAGTCTCCATTCGAAAGGTCTTGAGAATTTATCTGGAGACGATAGCAGACGTTTAAACCTATGACCTAAATCGGATCTTGCCGAAAACCTCTCGGGTATAAAGAAATAGGAGAGAGGGCAGTTCACACTCACCTTTTGTTCGGGCTGCTCGCTTAGATGCGTTGGGGTTTGCGGTGAATTGGGAGCACTGTAACTCGTCTTCATCTGATGCAATTGCTGCTGCTGCTGCTGTTGTTGTTCGTGTTCATGTTGGTGTTGTTGTTGCTGCTGCTGCTGATGTTGGTCCACAACAATCTGCTGCTGCTGCTGTTGTTGTTGCTGCTGTTGATGCAATCCTACCAAGCCATTCTTGAGGGAGTAATCCAGACGTTCAACGTTCTGACGGAACTCATTGATATTGATGTTGAACGGCTTATAGTCGTGTACCAGCTGAGCCGTCGTTAAATGGCTGAGGGAGGAGAGCACGCCACGCTCGTTCATGGAACGCAATTGATCGATGGAGCGGTGTAGATAATCGCCGCCTGCGCCGCCGCCGACGCCGGCTGCGTTCGGCGAAGTCGGCAATTCGGCCATAGGCGGCTGCCCGCCAAGGTTCAGCGGTCGATAGGTGATGGTGCGAGCGTCCAGTTTAAGGCGTTGGATTTTCTTATTGTCTAAGCAGCTGCTGTCGCTGCTGCTTTTGGTCGCTCCTCCTCTGCTGACGCCTGCGACTCAAATGAAGCGCACTGATCGGGGCACTGATCGACGGCTTACACAACTTTTTGCGTTATTTTAGTGCTGAAAATACAAAATGATTATTGTAATTGTTATTATTTCGCTTACGCGCAAAATTCTGTTAAGTCGACAAACCGTTAAACTACTTTTTGGCCTGCAATCGGTGTTCTTTTTTTTCGCAACGCACGCAGCAAAAAATAAAAAGTACATTGTACATAAATTTTTAGCACATTAACATAAATGTGCATGAATTAATTAATTGTTTATGAATTAAAACGTGCAAAACAACAAAAACAAGCTGCGTATCCAAAAAAGTTGTTTGCTCAAGAACTACTGCGAAAAGCGCAAAGATAAGCAATGAAGTCGTTTGGTGCCAGCAAAAAAACGAAACAACAAAAACAAAAAACTAAATGCGACAACATTTTAAATAAAATCAACTGAAAGAAAATTCGCAACTGAAAGAAACCAACGAAACTAGCTACCGAGACAACGAGCTAAAGCTCAGGGGCGCCATCGAGTCAATGACCTCCAAAATTCAACATTTAAATGGGGCGCTAATCTGGGCGGATGCAATGCTGCAGCCAGAGAGGGGGTACCAGAAATATATTCTGCATTCATTCTATACTTTTGCATTGAGTAATGTAAAAACGGTGACAATCTATGTGACAGAAAGCATAAAGCATGACCGTGCGAGTCTGTCTGTATGATCGTCTTTATCATTGAGGCAATAAGTGTTAATGGAACCCAACTTGTTGGGAGTATTGCTTAATCGTATATGACTATTATGACACATGCACTATGCAAAGTTGGTTTAAATATACATACGAAATATTGAAATTGTCGTAAGATTTCTAAGATAACTTATATTGAATAGGCATTCGGTTCGAATAGCGCCGCAACCATCATGACAGAAGCATTATTAAAATTGTCAAAGTTATCATAAAATTTAATAATTGTCCCTATCTAGAACAAATCTTAAATATTGATTAAAAGAGAGAAACAAAAATTTACACATATATATGACTATATAATATTTAATATTGCAAAAATGGGTGATGAAATTCTTAGAACTTATGAGGTTTCAAATGTTTTACAAAATCAAGAAAATTAATTGATTAAAACGAATTTTTTGTATAATTCAAAGTATCATTTGATTACACATACATAATTCGATCTGAACCAGAACGAAAAAAATAATCATTTTAAAAAAGTTAAACTTTCACTAAAATATACGAGTGTATGTATGTACATATGTACGTAAATGTAAATTACGTTTAATTTTAATTTGTTGATTGGATATTAAACTGAATTAAACGAATGACATATGCAGCTCAGAATATAATATTATATTTATAAAGGAAAATTTAAAAAATTTTTTTTTTATGTTTTACTTTATTGTAAAAGCTTCTAAAATATTTAAAATACATACATACATAATAACTATATTTTATATATTATTTACATTTAAATGTTTTGATTTGTTATCAGCATTTGATAATTGATTCACTTCGCCGATATACTCTACTGACCTACATACTATGTACATATATACATACATCTACACAGATATGTATATACATACATATGTAAATAACATGTACGAACAGCGGCAAGTGTGAAATAAATTTGTAAACAAAAAATGGCGCTACTTTTACGTCTTGTTCCCTCTTTTTTGTGTTTTTATTATCCCTGCTACTACACAAAAAAAATCAATAAATAAAAGAAAAACAGTTGTTCGGTAAATACAATAAATTGAGTTATTTAAATGCCAACAGAGAGGAGAGTAGAGCACTGTGTTGAGAGAACAAGAGTGATGCGTGCGTGTAATGCAAGGGAGAGCGGCGGCGCTCATTGCGAGCATTGTTGTTGTTGCTTCACACACAAGTTGACGTCAGAGACAATTCTGTGTTCGTTTTGTTTGTGTTAGTGGCCAAAAGAACCGGTTGTTATTGCCTGGCACAGCAAAGCCTGAACAGCACTTCAACTCCCACCCGGCGGCTGACAAGAAGTACAAATTTGGTCAGGGGAGGTGCAGAGGATGAGGACTGACTTGCACACGTTCACGTTTTAAATTTTATGACCGCTTGTTGCGCGCCCCACGACAAATATGTACATATGTACGATGTCGTCATATTACAATGGTGGGGGAACAAAGGGTTATTGCAATAAACGATAAAAGCAATTTGTTTTTACCGCCAAATTGTAAAAGCCTGCGAAAAAATACGCAGAATATAAAACTAAATTGTCACTTGAAGTTTATTTTGGTACACACATACACATACATATGTAAATACATTGAAAGTGGCGTCAACTACAACTACAAATGTAAACACACACCAAGAGGTGGCCCCAAAACACGCAGTCGCCACCGCCAAAACGAATATGGAAAAAATGGTATACATAAAAAAACGGTATGAACACTCAATGCACGAACAGCAAAACTAGAGATGGGCATGGCCAGGCAAGACTTGGCCAAAAAATTTACTTTTTTAATTTAATTTAATAACATAAAGTTAATATCATTTTGATTTGAAAAGAAATTAATTCAGCACCAGCCAAGGGTATAATTGACTAGAGTCCGAGTAGAGTAATTTCATGAAAGTCACAATAATAGGTTATGAGTATTAATACTCAATTCGCGTCTCCTTTCCAACTGCTTTATAACATTTTAATATGATTTTAATATTTAGCCATCTAAATCAATTCTCTACCGAAACCAAATATTATTTTTTCAATTAATGGAATATATGTATGTATGTTGCATATTTCTAAGCTGTATGTGTACAAAATGTTTTATGGAATCATTTTTATCAGTTTTACCGATTTAAAATTTTTTTTGCTCGAGTTTTCAGTTTATACTAATTATCAGTTTATAAAACACATGCACGCATTTCAGCACAGTGCCACGAACAAAAACACGGACCATACCCACCTCTAAGCACAACCACACAAATAGAATCAACGAAAATTAATTGAGCGTGAGAGTGCGTCGGTGGGGCACAGCGAAAACAAAAAAAAAGAGAGCGCGAATGAGCGAGCGCGCAACATAAACAAATGAATTCGAGAGGCAGAGAAGCAGACAACAGTAAAAAAAATACGTTGTGTAAATGTAAAGCAAATAAATGAAGAAAAAACACGTATAGGGTTTGGGGGCGGTATGTGCAAAAAAAATGCTGCGCGGGAACAAACGGCGAAGTTGTCGAATAAAAGCGAACAGATAAAAGAAACCACCAAAATGAATGAACATAAAAAAGTCAAACAACAACTACACGAGGAGGGGGGACAGTGGAACAGCTTGCCAATTGCGCGCAACCTTGTGGTCAGTGCAAAATTTGACCGAAGCACCCCAAACAATGTTTATTTGAAAATATTCCGTCTATGCAAATTAGGGTTGTTGATATCAGCGACTGTGTTTATACATTTGCACTTTGTGTGATACAATATTTGCATTTACATATATTATACCTACATATGTATATATACATACGTAAGCATATAAATTTTAATGTTCCTATAACAACAAATACTTTCAAATGATGAGCATATCTAATGAATCAGCAAGGTTTTTGAAATAGTACATAATAGTACTTTGGATATAATGCAATAATTTAGCGGATGTCTATAAAAACTGAATATGTACTTTTAAATCTCGAAAAATAGATATCTTGAACATGACATTTGCGAGAAATATCCAACAAATACTATTCATAAGTTTAACAAGCGGTTTTCATAAACAAGTTTTTAGGAAATTACTTCCATATGTATGAATATTCAGGTATTAGATTACTTAAAAAATTAACTACAATTCATACGAACTTTCAACTCGCATGCATTCGCTCCACTGTGCGCTCTAGAGAAGGGCGCAAAATTGAAAAAAAAAGAATTCAAGTACTAACCAATTGGAATTGTCTTTCTTGTTGTTTTTGCGTGGGTGTTGAATATTTTGGCAGTAAAAGCACGTGTTTTCAACCGTTTTGAATGGACGTTTATTTACTTTTCACGAGTACAATAATTCCCTTTTTTCCTCTTTTTATTGTTTTCACTTTTTTCTTGTCGTACTTTGGTCAGGGATGGGAGGGAGGCATATGAATGACTTTTTTGTTTGGCCACTTGGCTTATTTTGCGGTGTGTGATTTGTTTATTTACTTTAAATTATATTCAAACTTATTTGTACATTCGGTGGCACCTAATCACGTTGGTTAAAATAAATTGGTATTTAAATTTGCAAATTTTCGTCTAATTTTGCGTTTTTTCGGTTTCTCCTTCTACATTTTTATACGAATTTCGAGCATGCACACACACACGTTAGTAGAGTGCTAAGAAAAAAATGGCCGCGCACATCGACACACTCACAAATCGTATATACATATGTATGTACAAATATATTTTTAAACATACATACGTGCACTTGCACTGCCCTTTTTATTGCTGTTGCAACTTTTTAGTAATGCTCTAGGGCCAGTCGCAAAATTTTTACTTGATCTTATTAATTTTTTACACGTCCCGCGTTATTTACAACGCACAACTTGCCGAGTTGTTTACACGCCGTTCACACGAGCGTAAAAAACAGCGAAAAAACTGAGCGCTGCCCTTGCAGCACGGCAGCAAAAACTCAACTGAAAGGAAAAAAAATCACTACACTAGCAAGTTTTTTCATGTGGCCGTCGAGTCTGAAGCGGCTGAATGTGTGTGCGTGTACTCTCGCTCTCTGTCACGCACACACATAGACACGAAGTGAAAAAACGGCATGCGCTTGTTTATGTTTTTTATATGCGCTCTTTATTCTCTTGCTTGCTCTGTCGACCGGCGCTATGTTATTTGACACGAATTCTCATTGTTGTTGTTCACGTACATTCATACTTATGTATGTAGTACTTATGTATGTGTGTGTGTGTGAGTCCCGAAAAAACAGCCTATTTGAATATCAAGTTTAATTGGACCAAATGCGATAGGTAAAATAAAATTATGCAAAATAGTTATTATTCTATTCCTCGACCAGCCAATCAGTGCGATTCTGTCCTGTGTCTAGTTGAGAGACATTGGGGTGAGTTCGGGACAATATTCTGCGTGCTGAACACAGGAATTCAATAGACAAAAACCCGGATCGTATTTTTGATTAAACAAAAATTTAAATTCACACTAAAATAGATTTATCTAGTGTAGATTTGTCCATAGTTTTTTCTTTCCCATTGGATAGCTGGGAATTTCATTCATATTTTTTTTATACATTTTATGTATTTTTCAATACAAATTTTCTTTTTACTAAGTTTACAGTTATTAATTGTTATTATTAATCCATATGCATAGTATCGAACCGAAACATACGAACAGTACATACAGCTTACTAAAAAGTACAGTTGACGTTAGCTGATAAATACGAGTAAGCATACCGATATGCACATACAATGAAGACTCAACATTGTTCTAATATACCATAATGCCTGTTAATTTATGAAAGCTACTGAGAACGTCTTTTAATTTGTTTGAAACATTTTGAAATGATCATAACAAGTTTTTAATTTGTGTGAATCATATTGAAATTTATGTAAGCCTGACATTAAATTATAACAGCAATCGAACAAAATGAGCGTAATGTACATAGATCAATTTCAACAGCATATAGAGGCAAAACTGTTTCTTTTGTTTTCACAGATTTTTAGCTTTATCAAATGCAGAAGCCTAAACAATATTTTAAAAATATACGTTACTTTATTTCACAGCACACATTAATCACTGGCGTGATTCAATTCACACATTTTGCATTTCACCGTCGAGTGGCAGCACCAGCATGTTGTAATCGAATAGCTATTGCCTTCTCTAGCTGCTCTTGGACATCTCTATTGCACGCGCAATGTTATTATTTTGGCGCAAAAAATTAGTTATACTACATTGATTGCTTAAATTAACACAACAAACTATGTCCGCCCAATATCAGAGGTTCCTGAAAGTACTTGAAAAGTGGCCAGCGGAAAAAACAAAAGTCGGCAGGTAAGAAAAATCAAAACGCAAACAAGGTTCGTGCAATGCAATTGTTATCTAACAAGATTTTTCCCTTCGCAACATTTATTTTGTTAGTTTTAATAGTGATTTCAAATCATTTGTAGTTTGCAGGAATATAGATAGTTTCCGTTTTGTAATCGCACCATTTCAGTGGCGTGTTAGTAACATGCAACAAGTTCCACGCAAATGTGTGCGCCGCAGCTTCGTTCTAAGAGAATTGTACTCGGTGCATGGGACTTATAAGTATATATTTGTTGCGGCTTGCCGTCGAACGTTCAGTTTGTGACTGGTGTTGAAAGTGTCTTGGAGTTAGAAATATGTCTTCCAAATACGCATATCAGCTGATCCCAGAGGAGTTTCTGCTCGGTCAGAATGAATTCTAGTAAGTTCAAACGCCAATAATTGGGATTACAAAACAATATCACTGTTAAAATGCCGGTAATTTTTTATATCCATGAAGACAGTTATATCCTTGCAAGAGTAGTGAATATTGTGTTTGATCTCATATTTTTAATGGTCAATGGGAGGCGTGGCAGACCCATCTTATAAAAAGCATAAGAGTTTTAGTTTTAGGCCGTACGTATACGCCTATTTCTATAAGGAAATCATTTGTCAAAACCGGCCGCATCGGACTGCTAAATCCTCTAACTGCCATAGAAACGATTGACAGATTTTGCATCAACTTATATGTATTCGAAGTTATCTTTGTGATGAGGTGTTGAACTAAATTGGAACACTATAGCTGCAATATTTACGACCTAGACCTTGATATGAACAATTTGCTTTATAAATAAAAATTTAATATTGTATTTGAAAGTGGAGGCGTATATTTGCAGAGGTATATAAGGTTTCATGGCGTTGTTCGAAGACTTGCTTATGTTTGTATACTTTTTTCTAATGTATTTTTTATTTTCGTTCATTTGAAAGCTCCTACGTTGTTTGTGGATTGGTGTTGAGTTCTGCTGCATGCTTCTACAACCTTCAAACGTCCATTTGCATTGTTTTCACCCAAAAATGGTTTTTCAGTATTTATTTATATGTTCGCTAGACAGATATCAGGTGTTAGGCCTTTTTGTTTGCCATTGTTTTGCGAGTTGTGCTATTTGTGCTTCATTTCTTAATAACTGCAAATGCAACGAACAACAAACACACATAAAAAACACTCAGCTAAGCAAACATGCAATAAACAATTTCTCTTCATCAAAAGGGATCTGGGCGAGCAAATACGCAAACAAGTGACAAAAAAAGCGAGTGACGCCACACTGAGCAACGAAGCCGTCGCCCAGTTCGCCAAACAAATTGATGCGCTGGAGCGGCTGTCTGGAAACGTCTACGCCAAGAAGTATCCACGAATCTACGACTCGACAGCGACAGGCCTGACGGCGGCGCAGTGCAGTCAAGTGTTATCTTCCGAGTTTCTGCATTACATCAACGAGGGTGCGGGCGCGCAACGCAAGTAATAGAGAACGCAATCCAATTATAAAAATGTTCAGACAATTGGCTAGACTCCGACCAAGGTATGGTGGACGACACGTCGTCACATCAACAGCGAGCGAGGTGGGCACCACAGAATGCCCACCAGCTCACATTCCTGTGCTCTGTAAGACCGCAATTGAGTATTTGCAACCCACTCCGAAGGCACGTTACCTGGACATGACGTTCGGCGCTGGCGGCCATACGCGCTGCCTGCTGGATGCCTGTCCTGATCTGATTGTCTACGCTCTAGATCGTGATCCTGTGGCGTATGAGTTGGCGCAGCGCCTGAAAGAAGATTATCCGGAACGCCTGTTCCCCATGCTGGGTAAATTTTCGGATGTGCCCAAGCTGCTGGAGGCACACGGTGTCGAGCGACATAGCCTGGCTGGCATACTCTTCGATTTTGGCTGCTCCTCCATGCAATTCGATGAGGCTGGTCGCGGTTTTTCTGTGTCGAAAAATGGACCGCTGGACATGCGCATGGATCGGGGACGCGACCAAGATGGTGTTACAGCAGCCGAGGTGTTGGCAAAAATTGAAGAGGCCGATTTGGCCAGAATATTGCGTGTGTATGGCGAGGAGAAAGCAGCCAAGAAGATCGCACGTGCGGTAGTGGAGGCACGTTCCGCTTTCTATCCCATCGAGACCACTCAGCAGCTGGCGGAACTAGTTGCTTCCTGTTTTAGCAAAGCCAATGGCGAATATGTACATCGTCAAGATAAGCTGCAAAGACCCGCACATTCGGCAACAAAAACATTTCAGGCATTGCGCATATTTGTGAACAACGAACTTAACGAAATCAACTACGGTATGTTGTTGGCTCGTGAATTTCTGCGCATGCAAGGCCGACTGGTGACCATCACTTTCCACTCCCTGGAGGACACTATTGTGAAGCGACACATCAGTGGCAATGTTATTGAGGGCCTAGCCAATCCGGTTCCACTCAAATATAGCGACCACGGCGTAGTCCATGAGTCGGATTTTGTGCAATCCTTCGTGCAATCGAATTGGCAGCAGCTACATCGTCACGTCATCGTGCCCGATGCCGAAGAGATCGCTCGCAATAGTCGCAGTCGATCCGCCAAACTCAGGGCGGCCATTAGGATTAAGTGAGTGGCGAGAGCGTAAAATTATAGATGTGTGTATGAGTGTGTGTGTCAATAATAAATTGCCATGCCTTGGTATGGTTATCTAGCCAACGAGTTATATTCTATTATTTCCTATCAATCCACTGAGCTCGCCTTCCCACTCTGTCGCTCTAACAGCATGTCTGTGGCACCAACAACATAAACATTTCCATACACACGTGTGTGGTAATTGTAGAAGTTCCTCTCTTATCTGGCTCTAAAATTGCCACCTGATAATGTTTTATCGATGTGAGTTCTATTTGGGCAGTTTTATGTAGATTTGTTAATCGCTCTACACTATAAAAATAGCAATCGGACATAATGTTACCTGTACCCGCATTTGAACCTTTCAAATACTAATAACCACAGTAAATTTCAGATATGTCCCATTTAAGTATTTTACTTTTTCTTTAAAATATTGTTGGAAATCGCATGGGCTCGAATATCGAAATGTGGAGGTCAAGCATGAAAAATATTTACAAACAATTATTATTTATTTTAAAAGAAAAATAATACAAGTAATAATATGCATTGACACCCATTCTTCGCCTTGAAGATTGCATTTAAAACTTATATTTTAATTAATTCAATTATAGAATTCTAATTCATTTTTTGCAATTGTTTTTGAAACATTTTTGAACTTGTATGAAAAATAGTTACAGTTGGGTTCGAATTCTAAATAGATTCATTCTTAAATTAAGTCGACTCTTAGAAAAATCGATCCCAATCCGTTTAACAGATATTTGTGGCTTAAGGTATTTCGTATGGAACGAAACTATAAGCTCAAAGTTCTAATTTTTATATACAATTAGGAGCTTTTCTCAAATTGTTGATCATTGCTGATTAAATTTACACATTTACGTCGGCTTCGTTACAGAAGTATGTTAAACTACTAAGCTGAGTTAACATATTCGTGCATAGTATTTTTCGTGAAATTTGGCCCTTTATGTGGGTACAGCGGGCAATATTTAAAATTTATTTATCAATTTCCTAAAATAAGTATTCAAAACTTAGAAGAATCCACTTCTAGTGCCCATTTATAAAAGTATATTAAAACCACAGCATGTTTATTGTTTTTAGTTAGTCAACCTCTTTTGACTTTCTTCACTACTAAGTTGAGTTTAAGAGCATAAGTAAAACCAAATCTGCGGTTTAGGGCCGACAGCCTACCCACAAATGGTGTGCGCAATAGAAGATGTCTCCTCCTCGATAGACGTCACAGATTATTTACGAGAGCCACAGAGCGAAAGTTTGTTCCACGTTGACCCCAGAAATTTGAAACCGATAATCTCAAATACACGCATGCCTTGCCTGTTGCCTTTTCTCGCTCGCCTGATATGCTTATCGGATAGGTGTTTGTATGTGTGTGTGTATAGCCTGGATCGAAAACACCTCTTATAGATAGTCAGTGCCGGCCTGGTAGTTGCTCAGTTGCATTGCGCAGGCGATTCGAATCGGTGGTGGCGTTGTATGTTGTGGAGGTTACTCCGAATTTCCAGCTGTCTGAGACTAAAGTGCATTGAGCGTTATTCCAGTGGTGGCGAGTGGACGAAGCCGACAGATAGAATGAGCGAGGCCAAGACTATATCGGGCACAGCGGTGGCCAAGTGAGTTAGCAATGATGAGCGGGATCTAAATATTAGCATAACTATAATTGGTGCTCCACAGAGAGATACGTGAGGAGTTGCGTCGGGAGGTTTTGGAGCTGCGAAAGCGTGTGGCGAACTTTGTGCCCGGATTGCGGATCGTACAGGTGGGTGGACGTGAGGACTCCAATGTCTACATACGCATGAAGGTTAGGGCGGCCACAGAGATTGGCATCGATGCCGTTCACGTCCAATTGCCGCGCTCTATCACCGAAATGGAGTTGCTCGATAAGGTATGTGCGATTGTTATTATATTTGGGAGGGTTGCCGATTACATAAACCTCCAACACCGCACCATAGATCAGAGAACTGAACGATGATGCCAAAGTTCATGGCATTATTGTGCAAATGCCTCTGGATGCGGACACGAACATTGATTCACACCTCATCACCGACGCTGTCTCGCCCGAAAAGGATGTAGATGGTCTTCATACCGTCAATGAGGGACGTGTAGCCATTGGGGATCTCAGTGGGTTCTTACCTTGCACCCCATGGGGTTGCATTGAGCTCATTAAGCGATCTGGCATTGAAATCGCCGGGGCTCGTGCTGTCGTCTTGGGTCGCAGTAAGATTGTGGGTACACCAGCTGCGGAGCTTCTCAAATGGGCTCATGCCACCGTCACGGTTTGCCACTCGAAGACACGTAATCTGGCTGAGATAACGCGTCAGGCCGATATTTTGGTTGTAGGTATAGGTGTGGCCGAAATGGTCCAGGGTAGTTGGATAAAACCCGGCGCTGTGGTCATCGATTGTGGCATCAATGTAAAGCCAGGTAAGTGGGAAAATCTTAGCTAACGAGAGCAACTCCTAAGATATAGAAAACAATAACGATTCTGTACTATTTAAATATGTTTAAATAATATGGAAAGTTTTTTTAAAAAAGACTAGCGAACTCATTATGCTACGTCTTGTAGCATAAAAACACAGAATGAAAGATAGCCGAATGGAAAATCATTGTAGATAGCAGTCTAATCTCAGCATATTTTCGAAATTGTAATGAACTCCATGGGCGTAGCGAAAGGAAAAGATCAAATCTCGAACTATGAGTTTTTGGAGTATTAGCTTTAGGAAAGTAACAACTGATCTTGACAATCGTTTTTCGGAATTCAATACAATTATCAATTTCGTTTCCGCCTAAGTTAATCCTATTCGAAATCGGGGCTGATTATTAGTATTCTTAATCAATGGTCGTTTTTAAAAAAGTTATCACCCATAGAGTGTGTGAATTATATGATGCCGATGGGAACTCCATTTGTATTTAATTTCCGTTCAATTCGTTATCGCCTTTATTCATATTTAGAATTCAATATAAAAAACCGATAAAGGTCTTGACCTCTCAAGAAGGTACAAATATTTATTGTCTATGAGTGAGCTGAAATCTTTACCCCCTCAAATGAGATCCTGCCTGCGCCCATGAACAGCTATTTGAGGATCTCCCACCAACTGAGTTTTTGATTATTGTTCACTGCAACCTTATCAGCTTACATTTCGCTGATGTCTATTCGACCTCTGGGGTCCTCCTTGATAAGAGTCGTTACTCGACTTAATGTTTTTGTTTTGAAAACATCTTTACATTTTCTTCATTCAGTTTAGTTTTTGAAAACTTTTCGGCGTAGCAACAACTCTAAATTTTATGTCAATTTTAATATAAGATCACCGCCCTTTGCAGATCCATCGAAAGCGAGCGGCACCCGTTTAGTGGGTGACGTCGACTACGAACAGGCTAAGCTTGTGGCCGGCTATTTGACACCTGTGCCGGGTGGTGTAGGCCCCATGACTGTGGCAATGCTCATGAAGAACACCGTGCGCTCTGCAACGCGCGCGGTGGATTGGCAGACTCGCAGCAACTGGAATCTGACAACATTACCTATAAAGCCGGCCAAGCCAGTGCCTAGGTAAGAGGTGTTTCTCATTCTCCCTCACCAACTTTATCAGTTGCCTTGATTGATATTGCAGTGATATTGAAATAGCGCGCGCCCAGAAACCGAAGGACATTGCATTGCTAGCGAAGGAGATTGGTCTGCAAGCCAGTGAGGTCTCCCTCTATGGCAACAAGAAGGCAAAAATATCACTTAATGTGTTGGAACGTTTGGCGGATCGTGAGTCTGGTAGCTATGTAGTGGTTGCTGGCATTACGCCAACGCCCCTTGGCGAGGGCAAGAGCACAACACTAATGGGTCTGGTACAGGCTTTGGGGGCCCATAAGAAGCGCAATGCGATTGCAGCACTTCGACAGCCTTCCCAGGGTCCCACATTTGGCATTAAGGGTGGTGCTGCTGGTGGGGGCTATGCTCAGGTCATCCCCATGGAAGAATTCAATCTGCATTTGACGGGTGACATACACGCGGTGAGTGCGGCCAATAATTTGCTGGCAGCCCAGTTGGACACCCGCATCTTCCACGAGTGCACGCAACAGGATAAGGCACTGTACGATCGCCTAGTACCGAAGATCAAGGGTCAGCGTAAATTTTCAGCCATACAGCTGCGTCGTCTGAAGCGCCTGGGCATTGATAAAACCAATCCAGATGAGCTTACCGAGCAGGAGTTTGGGGCCTTCGCCCGTCTGAACATCGATCCCGACACAATTATGTGGGAACGTGTGGTGGACATAAACGATCGATACTTGCGCAGCATCACTGTGGGGCAATCGCCCACGGAGAAGGGTATTTCTCGTCAGACCCGTTTCTCTATTTCGGTGGCTAGCGAGATCATGGCCGTGTTGGCTTTGTCCCGTTGCATGGAGGATATGAAGCAGCGTCTATCGGAAATGGTGGTGGCCTTCGACAAGGAAGGCAAGCCCGTAACGGCCGACGATTTGGGTGTGACAGGTGCCCTCACTGTGCTGCTCAAGGACGCTCTGGAGCCGAATCTGATGCAATCTCTGGAGGGTACACCCGTGCTGGTGCATGCCGGACCCTTTGCCAACATTGCGCACGGTTGTAACTCGATTGTGGCCGATGAGATCGGTCTGAAGCTGGTGGGTAAGAATGGGTTTGTGTGCACAGAGGCCGGTTTCGGATCAGACATCGGCATGGAAAAGTTCTGCAACATCAAGTGTCGTACTTCGGGCAGGAAACCCAATGCTATGGTGCTGGTGACCACAGTGCGAGCCATCAAAATGCATGGTGGCGGAGCACCAGTGACACCCGGCGCTCCTCTAAACAAACAGTACACGGAAGAGAATCTGGAGCTGGTCGAGAAGGGCATTCCCAATCTTCTTCAACACATAGCCAATGGTCGTACGTTTGGCATGCCGGTGGTGGTCTGCATTAACGCACATGTGGCGGACACCAAGCCCGAGCATGAGCTGCTTAAAAAGGCGGCCCTGAAGGCGGGTGCCTTCGCAGCCGTTGTCTCCACCCATTGGTCCGATGGTGGTGCTGGTGCCTTGGAGTTGGCGGAAGCGGTTATCAAGGCCTGTGAGGCAGGCAATCAATTTAAGCTGCTCTACGACCTCGAGCTGCCACTGGTGGACAAAATGTCGAAAATAGCAAAGACCATGTACGGTGCAGCTAAAGTGGAGCTCTCCGAAGAGGCTCAGCAGAAGGTGGAACGTCTCACCGCGGCCGTAAGTATTCAAACCTTATATAAAACAACTCTAACTAATCACCTTATTTTTAAAAGGGATTTGGTAAACTGCCCATTTGCATGTCAAAAACCTCCGGGTCGCTGACAGGCGATGCCAGAATCAAGGGCGCACCCAAGGACTTCACACTCCACATCGAGGATGTATATGTGTCAGCAGGCGCCGGTTTTGTTGTTGCCATGTGTGGCGAAATAACAAAAATGCCGGGCTTGTCCACCCGTCCCTGTATTTACGATATAGACCTAAATACTGAAACCGGACAAATAGAGGGGCTCTTCTAGGATGGATCTGTAACAATCAAAATTATTATTGACCAAATTGAATTGTATATAATTTGTGTATCTATATATTTCATTCTGTACATTTAAGAAATTTTTAAATGAAAATTGACTGTTTAAATTTTAATCTGCTTAAATGTTCTTCTTAACTTTAACATGCTTTAATGGCTGGAAATCGATCCTATATTCCAGACTTGAAAATTAGTTTCCATGCTACAAGACTTTTCCCTTTCAATTGAAGTAGTCACTGTTACATGTGCCTTTTTTTTTAGAAATTTCCACAGATATGTTTTAGGATGCCCAGACCTTCAACATGTCCTTAAAAGAGGGTCTAATTGAACAGGCGTGGTCAACTAGCGGGGCAAGTATATGAAGAATATGCGGCTCCACATTGAAATATTCACTATTTCTTACAGAAACAGGGGAGGACAATGAAAAGGGCCAAACGTTAGAATATAATAATAAGTAGTTGCAATATAAGGAATACTATATACCATTTTTGGAGCGAGAATTCAATTCCTTTTTCACGTACATGATGAAAAAATGCGATTTTTGGTGGCGTTGTATGTTGTGGAGGTTACTCCGATTTTCCAGCTGTTTGAGACTAAAGTGCAACGCGCGTTATTGCAGCGGTGGCAAGTCGACGAAGCCGACAGGCAGAATCAGCGAGGCCAAGATTTTATCAGGCACGGCGGTGGCCAAGTGAGTTAGCAATGATGATCGGGATCTATAATCATAATTATAATTGGTGCTCCACAGGGAGATACGTGAGGAGTTGCGTAGGGAGGTGTTGGAGCTGCGAAAACGTATGGTGAACTTTGTGCCCGGATTGCGGATCATACAGGTGGGTGGTTATGAAGACTCCAATGTCTACATACGCATGAAGGTTAGGGCGGCCACAGAGATTGGAATCGATGCAATCCACATAAAATTGCCACGGTCTACCACTGAAATGGAGCTACTCTATAAGGTATGTGTGATTGTTTTTTTTTTTGAAGAGTTTCCGATTACATAACTCTCCCCAACCCGTCTCTGTAGATCAGAGAACTTAACTATGATCCAATAGTTCATGGCATTATTGTGCAAATGCCATTAGATGCGGACACAAAAATTAATTCCCATCTCATAACAGACGCTGTTTTCCCTGAAAAGGATGTAGATGGTCTTCATACCATCAATGAGGGACGTGTGGCCATTGGAGATTTCAGTGGGTTCTTACCTTGCACCCCATGGGGTTGCATTGAGCTCATTAAGCGATCTGGCATTGAAATCGCCGGGGCTCGTGCTGTCGTCTTGGGTCGCAGTAAGATTGTGGGTACACCAGCTGCGGAGCTTCTCAAATGGGCTCATGCCACCGTCACGGTTTGCCACTCGAAGACACGTAATCTGGCTGAGATAACGCGTCAGGCCGATATTTTGGTTGTAGGTATAGGTGTGGCCGAAATGGTCCAGGGTAGTTGGATAAAACCCGGCGCTGTGGTCATCGATTGTGGCATCGATATGAAGCCAGGTAAGCAGCAAAATCGGAACTCAAAGGAATGATCTCAAAAGATAGAGAGCATAATAAGGTTTTTGTATTATCTTAAGATGTTCAGAGGGTGGATTTTTTTTCTGTAGGTAGAAGTGCCATCTTTTATTACTCTTTTATTTAAAATTATTTGTATATAATTTTCTTAAAATGTACGACCACCGTCCTTTGCAGATCCATCTAGAGCGAGTGGAACCCGTTTAGTGGGGGACGTCGACTACGAACAGGCTAAGCTTGTGGCCGGCTATTTGACACCTGTGCCGGGTGGTGTAGGCCCCATGACTGTGGCAATGCTCATGAAGAACACCGTGCGCTCCGCAACGCGCGCGGTGGATTGGCAGACTCGCAGCAACTGGAATCTGACATCATTACCCATAAAGCCGGTCAAGCCAGTGCCTAGGTAAGAGGTCCTTCGCACTCTCCCTTTTCAACTTTATCATACGACTTGCTTTGCTTGATATTAAAGTGATATTGAAATAGCGCGCGCTCAGAAACCGAAGGAGATTGCATTGCTAGCGAAGGAGATTGGCCTGCATGCCAGTGAGGTCTCCCTCTATGGGCACAAGAAGGCAAAAATATCGCTTAATGTGCTGGAACGTTTGGCGGATCGTGAGTCTGGTAGTTATGTAGTGGTTGCTGGCATAACGCCAACGCCCCTTGGCGAGGGCAAGATTACGACACTAATGGGTCTGGTGCAGGCTTTGGGGGCCCATAAGAAGCGCAATGCGATTGCAGCACTTCGACAGCCTTCCCAGGGTCCCACATTTGGCATTAAGGGTGGTGCTGCTGGTGGGGGCTATGCTCAGGTCATCCCCATGGAGGAATTCAATCTGCATTTGACGGGTGACATACACGCGGTGAGTGCGGCCAATAATTTGCTGGCAGCCCAGTTGGACACCCGCATCTTCCACGAGTGCACGCAACAGGATAAGGCACTGTACGATCGCCTAGTACCGAAGATCAAGGGTCAGCGTAAATTTTCAGCCATACAGCTGCGTCGTCTGAAGCGCCTGGGCATTGATAAAACCAATCCAGATGAGCTTACCGAGCAGGAGTTTGGGGCCTTCGCCCGTCTGAACATCGATCCCGACACAATTATGTGGGAACGTGTGGTGGACATGAACGATCGATACTTGCGCAGCATCACTGTGGGGCAATCGCCCACCGAGAAGGGTATTACTCGTCAGACCCGTTTCTCTATTTCGGTGGCTAGCGAGATCATGGCCGTGTTGGCTTTGTCCCGTTGCATGGAGGATATGAAGCAGCGTCTATCGGAAATGGTGGTGGCCTTCGACAAGGAAGGCAAGCCCGTAACGGCCGACGATTTGGGTGTGACAGGTGCCCTCACTGTGCTGCTCAAGGACGCTCTGGAGCCGAATCTGATGCAATCTCTGGAGGGTACACCCGTGCTGGTGCATGCCGGACCCTTTGCCAACATTGCGCACGGTTGTAACTCGATTGTGGCCGATGAGATCGGTCTGAAGCTGGTGGGTAAGAATGGGTTTGTGTGCACAGAGGCCGGTTTCGGATCAGACATCGGCATGGAAAAGTTCTGCAACATCAAGTGTCGTACTTCGGGCAGGAAACCCAATGCTATGGTGCTGGTGACCACAGTGCGAGCCATCAAAATGCATGGTGGCGGAGCACCAGTGACACCCGGCGCTCCTCTAAACAAACAGTACACGGAAGAGAATCTGGAGCTGGTCGAGAAGGGCATTCCCAATCTTCTTCAACACATAGCCAATGGTCGTACGTTTGGCATGCCGGTGGTGGTCTGCATTAACGCACATGTGGCGGACACCAAGCCCGAGCATGAGCTGCTTAAAAAGGCGGCCCTGAAGGCGGGTGCCTTCGCAGCCGTTGTCTCCACCCATTGGTCCGATGGTGGTGCTGGTGCCTTGGAGTTGGCGGAAGCGGTTATCAAGGCCTGTGAGGCAGGCAATCAATTTAAGCTGCTCTACGACCTCGAGCTGCCACTGGTGGACAAAATGTCGAAAATTGCAAACACCATGTACGGTGCGGCCAAGGTGGAGCTCTCAGAAGAGGCTCAGCAGAAGGTGGAACGTCTCACCGCGGCCGTTAGTATTCAAACCTTAGATAAAACAACTCCTTCCTAATCAATTGTTTTTAAAAAGGGATTTGGTGAACTGCCCGTTTGCATGTCGAAGACCGCCTGCTCCCTAACTGGCGATGCCAAAATCAAGGGTGCACCCAAAGGGTTCACACTACACGTCGAGGACGTATATGTGTCAGCAGGTGCTGGTTTTGTTGTTGCCATGTGTGGCGAAATAACAAAAATGCCGGGCTTGTCCACCCGTCCCTGTATTTACGATATAGACCTAAATACTGAAACTGGACAAATAGAGGGGCTCTTCTAGGATGGATCTAAAACAAACAAAATTAATATTGAATTGTATGTAATTTGTGTATCTAGATATTTTATTTTGTACATTTAGGAAATGTATAAATATAAATTGACTGTTTTAATTTTTATCTGCATTATCTATGGTGAGGTATTCATATATTTAATAGTTCTTGGCAACTTGCCTAGAATTGAATTTCATATTCCAGACTTGAAAATTAGTTTCCATACTACAAGGTATTTCGCTTTCAATTGAAGCAGTCAGTGTCCCATGTGCCTTTTTACGAATTCCTACAGATTCTAAAATACTATATTAGGGTTTGTACCCAGACCTTCAACATGTCCTTTAAAGAGAGTAAAATTGAACATCCTGTTATACGACAATTTATTTTGCGCACCGCCGTGGTCAACTACCTGGGCAAGTCTCTGAAGTTGCAATGGAATAATTGGAAGGATGTTTGCATCCAAATAGAAATATCGAAAATTAAAAAGGAGGAAGACAATGAAAAGCGGCAAAAACTCGAAGACAATAAAAAGGAGTTGCAAGAAAAGGTACATACCGCACACAAGCTTTTGGAGCGCGAATACAATTCCCTTTTCACATACATGATGAAAAAACGCGAGTTATGGGACAGTCCCGAATATTTCAGCGCCAAAAGTGCTTTGGGATCGGCAATTCAAAATTTGCGCCTGTATGTGGCGACTTCACAATTGCAGCTTCAAGACTTGAAATCCACGCAAAATTAGAAGGATGTAACAATATAAGTGGACTACAAACATTGAAGTTGAAAAAAAATGCGGTTCAGTAGCTTAGAATATATTATATTTTAAAAAAGTAAATGAATAATTGTAACAGAACACAATCACAAAAAAGCTATTTATAGAACGGTATTTCGACGCGGCCAGACTTTGTATTGACAGTCTCCCAACAGGTACACATAAAGGTCGAACGATCCATGTGGTCGATATATAGTTTTCCATCCAAATGGTCCATTTCATGCTGAGCTATGCGGGCATTCCAGCCACTGAGTTCCAATTCGTTACGCGTCCCCAATTTGTCAAGACCCGTCAATTTGACGCCCTCATAACGCTCCACTTCAGCAGAGAAGCCACGAACACTCATACAGCCTTCCGGATGTTTGTGTTTTGTATAATTTGTAATGGTCAGCTCAGGATTGATCAGGACCTGTTGGGTAGGAATAGTCAATGTTAATATGTTTAATAAAACACCTGCAAGTTCTAACCGTCAATGGCAACTCCGACATTTTCCGCGCCTCGAATGTAGCCTGTGGCAGATCCCTTTTGATGTCCTTCTTGAACTCCATGGCGATGATGCGAAGGGAGACACCTATTTGAGGCGCCGCTATGCCCACGCAGTCGAATTTTCGCAGCACCTTCACCATTTGTTGAATCACAGCCTCAATTTCAGGACTCTTTACATGCTCCAGTGGCACCGCCGCTGCAACTAGAATATTTAATGAATAAAATGGCAAATAAGTCCTCAATTCATTCATACCTTGCCGCAGCACCGGATCGCCAACTTGTGTGAAATGTTCATAGGGCGGCAGATTAGTGCGCTCTGTGGTCCACAGCTGCTGGTACCATTTTTTAAAGGATTGTGTCCTTGACTGACTGCTACCAAAATAGCGTAAATGTGTCTTAACCAGTTTGGTTAATTGAATTTGGTGCTTAAGCATAATTATTTTCAGACTTTGCCGGCGTAACAGCCAACCATAACGAACACAACAACAACAACAGTGAACAGCTGTTTTGTGAACCAGCTGAAAATAATAATCTGCGCACGGAACCATTGCTATCGATTGACTTACATATTTTTTAAAATCGTTATCGCGGCTTTTTACATGCAACAGCTTTATAAAACCGACGCATATACATACGTACATTGTGGTTTATTGCAATGATAAACGTATTAAAGTGTTTCTTTATTTTAAATGCAAGGCAATTATTGCTAAACTCAAAATATATGAAATAAATGTGAAAATAAGCGGAAACATTTCAGTACAGACAGCACAATTAAATGAACTAAATTCATCAATCGTGAGCCGCCATTTGTAATTTGCGCCAACCAATGTTTAACTGTTAACTGTTTAAATATTTATTTTGTACAACAATCCAGCGTAACAAAATCTAATAGGCAACTCTATTAATATTTAATTGTGGAGCCTTTGTATCAGTGTCCCCATCAGCAAAAAATTTACATACTATTTGTCAAACACAATCGACGCGTGTCCACCTGCTGCGTTAACTTGCTGCCACGATAGGCAACAAAAACTGGAGGAATCCATGCGATCTATATATATAACGCCATTTAAGTGATCCACTTCGTGTTGAGCAATCCGTGCGCTCCATCCTTCCAATACAATTTCCGAAGAAGTGCCCAGTTTTCCCACGCCCGATACTTTAACGCGATCGTAACGTGCAACTTCGGCTGCGTAGCCGCGAACGCTCATACAGCCCTCCGGTTGTTTGTGCTTAACCTCGCTTATTATCTCCAGTTCCGGATTTATGAATACCTGGTGAGTTGTAAAAAACATTAAGATAACTTGCTCTAGTCCCCTTCTCCGACGGTATTTACAGTTAGCGGCAATGTTGACATTTTTCGCGCTGCGTAGGTTTCAGCCGTAAATTGCTGGCGCTTGCGTTCTGCAAACTCCATTACAATGATGCGCAAGGGAATACCGATTTGGGGCGCTGCCACGCCCACGCAATCATAGTGGCGCAGCACTTTAACCATGCGCTCTATAATTCCATTGATCTCCTCACTATCGATTTTGTCTGCAGGCACTTCCGCGGCTCGCCCTCGTAATACGGGATCTCCAATTTGTGTGAAGTGTTCATAGGGGGGTGTAGTTATAGGGGTGGTGGCGCTAATTGGACGGAGTCCGGCGTGGAACCAGCGTTTCTTTAGTGCCGTATATAGGCGTACGAAGTTTGTGAGCCAACTATTGAATATATGCACAGACATAGCAATTAGCGTTAGGTCTTTCTCTGGCTACGGAACGCCAACAACTAAACGTAAACTCAGCTGTTCGCATTAGCGATGACGCTCGATAACACTCTGCTACATAATCTGGGTAGGTGGATTCTTATCTGAGAATTTTGCTATAGGAAAAGGTGTAATAAAGATATCTAATATTTAATCACGTCTCTGGCTATATGATGGCATCGGATTTGTAAATAAAAGTTATTCATTTGATAGGGTTTTTTTTTTTTATTATTTCCCTCAAGAACTTGCAATTTTTCGATTTCATCAACCCATTGAGAATCATTTACATATATTACGATTTATAGATGAACACAGTAAGTACTTTGACATTTTCTCGTATGTACTTAAAATCTGGAATAGAAGATATTCTATTATCAGAAAACATGCTAAAACTCAACTCATGTATGAAAACGATACCAATACGGTTGGGCTTATTATATTTGTATAATTTGAACTATTCGGTCTCGGATTCGAATTACTGTTTAAAGAGGGCTAGTACTTATCTAAACGCAAGTATAATATTGCTCAAGCAGCTGACAAATAATATGTTACGCGCTGCTAATCCGATGGTTAAGGTTTATGTAAATATTGCTCTCTGTAAGTTAAGTTTTTTTCGCGCCAATTTATTTCATTTAAGATGTGTATTTAATATTGTTTCTGGTTTATATGAAAAATATATTTACTAGATTAGAATTCCTGAACGAACATTTATCAAAGGAATTGTAAAGTAACTCTATGGTTCTCTGATTATTATTCAAAAAATTACGCATACCTTTTGTTTTTATATGTTTGCGTTTATTTTTCATCTTTTCTATCCTTTTGCTAGTTCTTCATTTCATTGACTTCCTTGATTTTTATTTTTAGTCCAAAACTTATTGGTCTATTCCATCGGTGAATAATATACATCAAAACATAACGATTTCTTGATACGGCGGAAGTTGATCACAGTTGTTGCTTTCGAGTTATTTTTACTTTTTCTCAAGCGGCATATTAACTTTCCTGTTCATCTTTGAAGTTTCTTCTTATGGCTATTTAATATTGTTTGTGTAGCCAACTAGAAAAGCTGTGAAAATATAAAGTTATGGTGGCTTTTCATAAAAATTGTGTGATTGACTTATGCGTTTTTTTTATCAAGCAAGTTTAATCAAGTTTATTAGATCTAACTTTTGTTATAAGTTTATTATGAACTTTAGTAATTTTTGAACTCAAACTTTAAGTTTAACTTATCCGCTGTTTTTCTTTTCAACCATTAGTTGTTGATTGCTTTTTGATTCTTTCCTATATGGTGTGAAATATTTTACTATTTGTATGCATAGAAATTCTTATCCTTATTACGTTTACTTTAATGTATTTATAGGTGCCATAAATTTACTCATGTTGGGATAAGAATTGAATATTAAGTATTTTGCTGGCAGAATTGCGGGCCCATCCTTTTGGCTGTTGTGTGGCCTAAAGAAGGCAACAAACTGAGCCTCCAACATCATGCGATGGAAGCCTAAGGCTCATTAGTAGTCGGAGGCAAGCTTTTTAACGCTGCAACATTTTTATAGCAACAATGTTACAATGACAACATGTATCTAAACAAATGTATTTGAGCTCACACGCTCTTGATGGCATTCTCACTCTCGTTGTTCCTTAGTAATAGAAATAATATCGTCTTTGAATATGTTCGACTACTGTGTATTCCGTATGGATGTTGTAAAATTGAAAAACCCTTCTCATTTTTTTTACGAGATTTTGTAAAAAGAGGCCGTTTTTTTTTTTATAAAATTCCTTGACAGTTACATTTTTAGATGACATTAGATTAGACAATTTTTTAATTTGGATTTTATCTACTTTATTAAAAGTATTTTATTTATCTTTAAGCCACCACTTTAATCGCTTAATTTTGAACTGATTAAATTTTTTAACACTCTAGCCCATTTAAATTCCTGATGAATTTCGTTTGCAGTAGTGTCTTAAGTATCTATATTAACATTCAAGTGGTCATATTTAAAAATTTGTTGATAGTTATTTATTTAATTTGCATGTTTCTTATAGAGTAAAGTAAGTTAAAACCAATTATGATTATTTATAGAGCATATCACTGCATAAAAAGCAGTTAATTTAAAAACCCATACTTGTACCATTCCCCAGAGAAAACTAACACATTTGGCATGCCTAGGAGCGTAGTATATTCCTTAAAGGCTTTATGAACACAATGTTTTTGCTGTTCGTGTCATTTCAGTTATCTCATTATGAATTTATGCCTTCGCAATGTGTTGGTTTGCCACTCAGAACGGCAAACGCATTTAATTTATGAGCACCTTGCGGTAAATTTATGCGAAAAAATGGCCGCTACAAAAATAAAACGTTACGAAGAATATTCTTGGCTGTGTCTGTGGCAGTGGCAGTGATTTCCACAAAATCCGCCATTGGCTACAAAGTGCTTTTATATTTATGCATTTTAATTTGTTTTTATAAATTAAGAGTGGCAGAAGTCGAGGGTGCACGGCCCAGTCCTAGAAAGTCCAATTGAACACATTCTTCATTAATTATTCCATTTTAAGGACCCGCAGTATTTTTATTATGCAAGTGGATTTTTCTTAAGCTGCTATGCAGTCCTTTAATCCAACATAATTTGCATGCGAAGAGTTGTGTGTACTTTTTATTGCAGAAAAATTATGAGTAAAACGTTGAACTGATTTGATTGAGTGTGAAAGTTTCTTTGTTTTTAATCTTTTTTATCTGTAGGCGATTCTTAAGTCGAATGAATTATTGCGACGCAATTAAGAAATGAACATTTATCGTTTAAAATTGTTGAAAATTCGATCAAATTAGACTCTTTATTAAGTGTGAGATATAATAAATGAAATATTCGCCACTTGATATCGCCTGACAAGCATAATAGGTATTGGCATTGGAGAAAACTCGGGCTGCTTTGAAATTGCTGTAGTTAATGTTGTGTTATGGCCTTAACATTTCGACTACATATTTTAGGAATCAAACTAAATTAAATTTAATGAAAAGTATTAACTCGGCCCCGGCAACCGCAAATGTGCGGGTTTTGTTCGCTCGAAACGGATTGCCGCTGTCCCTTTATGGGTAACTTTGAGTTCATTTCTAAAACAAAAACAATGTGCGCACTCGAGCTAAAAAAGGAATCTGATAACAAACATGGAAAGCCGCAACGCACAGTAAACAATCAGGAGCATGATAATAATTCTACTTTTCACTTTGCCCTTTGCGCGGGTCCTTCAAATTATTTGAGGCATAACGTGTTCAGTAGAGCTGCAAGAAAAATTTCCACGCACAAGTGTGTGGTGCTGAGAGTACCGGTGCATTGTTGTTGTTATTGCTGTTGACATCCATCTTGAATTTATTGTTGTTGTTGTTGTTGAATCTGTTGGTGCTGAAAACATGTCAGAAAGAAAACAATGGCACAAAGCATAGTTCATTTTCCATATTTTACGCTTTTCTCGCTCCAGCTTGTCTTCATTACTTTACTTGACCGAACACCTAACGGCATATATATTTAGACTGGTCTGATATTTGTTAATAATTATTTAAAGAAGAATTTATTAATTGTGTTTAACTTAAAAGCTGTACAAGAATTAATATTACAACGAATGGTACCAATCCGAATTATTTAACTTATTTTGTCTATGATTCGAAATAAATCTGCTGAAGCTGAATTAATTTTAGATTATATATGCATTTCTTTCATCTTTCAGATATGTTTGCATACAAGTTCTACTTTATAGCTTTAGAAGTAAACAATAGATATGTATATTTGAAATTTAAGTTAAAATGTATAATTTTGATAAAAAGTTCTTAGTTGATTTAGTTATGGAACATTGCTATATTTTGGAGATATATTTTTAATTATTGTTAATGATTATTTTAAGTAAAATTTTTAGATTTTCACTTAGACCGTATTATATCCTCATATTTCACCAAAGAACTTTCCCACACGGACTTTTTTTCTGATCCAAGTGTTTTTGTACGACTTCTGACAAAGCATTCAAATACTTTTTAGAAGTTTTGTTGGAAAACAAAGAAACAAAGAATATTCTTAATAAATGTTTACCAACCAAAAAGAATTCTTTCGGATCTTGTTACTATATATTTACCAGCCACTGTATAGTCAGTGGTAAGGACGCCAACGCATTTAATTAAAATGTGTTGTGCTTAAATTATTTTCATTTTTGTACACATACTCAACACCAATTTCTGAAGACATTGTGTGCAACGAAGGTCCGTGGCATTGATTGTTTGCCCCTTTAATGGAAAGTACTTTAAGGTCGTCGAACAGTAAATAGTCTGCCCGATTAGTTCTTGGAAAAAAACGGAAAAATGAATGAACAGCTTTGCTTTTCGTTTCAATGCTAATGGTAAAGGATTCTGCGAAAGCATCAGAAAGTGCATTTCAAATTAAAAGTGAGTTTTCATTTGAAATTGAAATTCAAAAAGGTCAATTTTTCAACATATATTAGAATTTCTCATGGCTTTCATTGTAAGTCTTACCTTTTAAACCGGCAAGAAAATGGAACTCGTTCGTTAGCTTGAAAATTCAATGCGAAATGTTAGCGCGCAAAAAGCCAAGTCAGATGCTGAGTTGGAAATCGCGAACCCCCCTCGTAATGCAATTAACACGAGATATATTTGTAGCACAGGTGCATAAAATTGCCTTTTATAAATATAATTTCAACGCAATTAGCAATGTTGAGCTCTTTAAACACTTCCTGTGACACGCATGAACACGTATACGCCGCATCGCACAAATTCCCAACAACATACACACACACACATACATACTTACACATATGCTCAATGGGAAGACAGGCGGCAAGCATATGTATTCAGGTTTGCTCACTTTGGCTTTAATGGCTTACTGGCATTTATGGTTATGGCTCGAACGACGCGACGCGGCGCGACACCAAGAAAGAGAGGTGAGGCAGGAGGGGTTTACCAAAAATTTATTAGCAGGTTGATTTATTTGTTCAATTGTATGTCGCCAAATGGAAAAGCCAAACTGATGTCGGTAAAGTCGTGAGACGTGCCGTTTGGTTACTTTAAATTCTTTGCATTTCTTTACCCTGTTGGGAGGGGAAAACGCAATCACAGTTGCCTTAAACAAAAGCACACTCAGGAAATTGCTTAGCACAGTTACTTATAAGATTATTCGAAAAGAAATGGAACGAAAAGGCAAGTCGGTGTGAAACATGATTTACAATGTAAATTTTACATTATTATTATTTATTGATTTGACAAATTTAAACGCGAAATCATAGGCGGTAGAGGCACAAGCCACAAAGCAATATGAAACAATATATACGGAAGAGAGTATAAGTATCTTTCTTTAAATGTATAAATACAATAAAGTGGAATATTGAAACTTATAAAAATTCGTAGGCTTAAGCATTGCAGAAGTAAAGTAAATAAATAAATTGGTAATTGCAGGACAACGCTTAAATATGTAATACCAAAAAAGCTTAGCTAATTTTTTGTTGTTTCGCACAGTCATTCCCATAAAAATCTCTTCAAAATCCGCCCTGTCGTTTTATATTTTCGTTGGCTACTTTTAGCCTTAATCATTGTATAGCTTGTTACCAAAATAGATGACATATCAGCCGTAGTAATATGTCAAATGACATTTTGATTTAAGGCTATCGCGTAATTTAAGTCAATGTGCGGTATAATGACTCGACTGAATTGTCGACGGCATCTCAGAAGCACTTCAAACCAAATGGAGAGGTAATGAGAAGGATAAGTGCCAGGGTCTGTGACGTCAGTGGCTATTTGGGGGCTATATTAAGCTTTTGTAGTATGTATGTATAAAACTATCACTCCAAATTTAAATGGTGAGTGAGTGAGCGAAGCGTATTTTTGGGGATTGAAATTTTAGTTAATTAAATAACAAACATGTAATTGTGTTTAAAAATATGTACAAGTATTTATTTAATAATTAACAAGAGAACTGCACCGGCAGCTAAAATTTCATTGGCTTGGAGAGGTTTTTGTTCGGCATTGATTATTGCCTCATTAAAATCGGCTTAGCAATTTGGCCAAACCTTGGTTGTCAGGGCACCGAATTTGCTGATGCGTCATTTGTTAATAATTAACCTGTATATTTTCAACAACCAGGAAAATAAATGAATCGAACAAAGTTCAAGCAAAAGGTCATAAATAAAACAGAAACAGACTGAACGTTATTAATTACACGCTGTTTGTGTTTAAACCAATTATATTTACAACATGGATATGTTTGTGTTGGTTTTGGTTTAATATTAAGCAAAATATTGCTATTGCCACCTTGCTGACCAAATTTAAATGGTTTGGTAATTGGTAGACCTTAAATTGCAGACTTAAATTTAATAAAATTATTGTTTAAACATTTCATTATGAGCTCTGATAGATTTCAATGCAAAGTCGATTATAAATGCAATGCGTCAACAAAGTTAAACAATTTAAATACAATTCTATAAATGTTCAGGTTGATAAAACACTGAGAGACTTACAATTGAAGCTGTCTTGGTGTTGAAAGGTTTTCAACTATTTGTTGTTGGCAAGTGTTTGTGCAAAAGAGAAGAGAATGTTAATCGTTGGAGACAGAAATTAACTGACATTGAATAATTTACAAGTTTTACTTATTTATTAAAAATTAACGTGACAAAATGTGTTATCAACGTTTAAACATTTTTATGTTCCGTTTTGAATGTTTCAATCGCTTTTATATAGTTATAAATTGGAAATACTTCAAAATTCTATTCAATAATTAATCAGATTGTGGACTTTTCAAACAACTTGTTTTTTAATTTCCTTAATAAGCATTGTATTCAATTAAAAAGAAAAATATTCAAACCACACCAAAACAATGCAATGTAGACTGAAAAAATGAATATTACAAAATTTCAAAAATGTAAATTTTATACAATTATTAGGGAAAACTGCACGCGGACAGCTAAATAGCATAATTATTAATTTTTGTTGTATCTGAAATGCAGGATTTTTCTCAACTATTGGAATTAAAAAATTAATGTAACTAGTTTGTTCTAATTTTTAAAAGTATTCAACAAATTATATAAACAATTAATCGTATATATTCGTTTATACCAAAGTATTTCTTATAGTTTTGATAGGATTTTCCCAATTATGGAACACAACTAGATTAAGGCAGAATATTTTGTTAGGGCTCGGCTATAAATCTAAAAAGTAATTTAAACACCTGTATAAAAATATATTAAAGAAAAAAGGAATTTTTTCTGGTAGTAGCACTTTTTTTCCAACAATTTCAAACAACAGTGTTTTTGTACTCGACGAATTAAATTAAAAATAAATGTATTTATTTATTTATTTATTTTATTTATGTACATGCGGTAATGATTCAATTTTGTAACCCTGCATTATATCTTTCCACATAAATGTAAAATCTGCTCTCAAGATTCAAATTAGATAGTTGATGGTATTCAGAGCTTAAAGGCCGTACTTTAAATCTTTTGTATTATGATTAGGGTCTTTACGTAGAAGCCTCAACCGGCCACACACACCTCGATAATTTAGACTGAGTTTGTTTTACAGCACATAGCCTACCATTTAGTATGGCATTTGTGCTTCTCCGGCTCATGATTATTTAATGCGTTAACATCAACTGAACATTAATTTCTGCATGTATTTTGGCTTTTGCGGTGCCTGTTAAAATTTACTTTACACGTGTTTGTTTTAACGCTAAAAGCCAATTAAAATTAAGCGTCAAGATGTGGGCCAAAGTTGTCAGCTGCCACACAAAAGTGTCACCGAACTAGGTGGCGTAGCTGGACAGGAATGTTGTTGGAAGTGTAGAGATAGGAGGGATAGGGACGAACTCGCTAAGTGGTGTGAAAAGCCCAACGAGTATTGTGGGAGCATCGCACGTGTCCTTGATTAGCAATGGCTTTTAATTGAACAACTTTTCCATTGAGGCGGCAGCAACTTTTGCCAGTAGTCGTTTGGTGAAGAACACAATTTTATGGCCACAACTGCTGCACTACCTGCCAGATAATTTTCCGTTAAGACTAGCTGGCTAATTGTTATTTATGTAAGAGTTAACCCAGAAAGTTGTTCAGCAATTTAGATACACTAAAAAGAAATTAGAAAACAATATGTAATTTGTAAGCTGTAGAATAATTATTTTCCATTTGGAGACACAAAACACAAGTGACGTTTAGAAACAACAATTGTGTCAATGAGTTTATGGTTTTTAAAATTTTAAGCTCATCCTAAATTTGCAAAACGCAAACAAAAAAGTAGAAGCAGCAAGATTGACAGTTTAAACATATGGGATAAAGGGAGGCTTGAGTGATACAATGGTCACCCTTATAAGGAAATATTTTATATATAAATGCAAAGATTGATGAAAGACAATTCATAACTTAACCTTATACGGCGAAATTTATAAATCCATGCATACTTTTTGATGGTCTTCAATCAAGATTGATTATCTTTAATGAATCAGGATTTTAAAAAGAGCAAAGTCTTAATATTTTAGTTTTCAAAGATTTTGGTTCAAATTTTGATTTTAAAATATTTCAAAGAAGTAACAGCATACTTTTTATACTTTTGATCATTTGATTCTGCAGATAACATATTTGTATCTTTATAAATTTGCAAATAAATGTAGGATATAAGAATCTTTGTGGACGTCTGGACTATGCGTTAAAAATATCCCATTTATATTCAATTAAAATTCTCCAACCTATAGTACCTTTTTCAAAAATGACGTTTCGAAATTGAAAAAAATAAATGTTTGAATAAATTGAATGGCAGAGAGATGTGTGTGTGGTAACAATTAGAATACCTCATGGCAGATCAGAGACCGCCTGATCAGAGACCCCCAGATCAGAGACCCCCTGATCAGAGACCCCCTGATCAGAGACCCCCTGAGCAGAGACCCCGGCCAACACCACCACCACCAACGTCGCAGAGGCATAAATCACGTCACTCAGCAAATCCGCAAGCACATCAATTGCAGCGAGACCGAGAACGAGAATCGTTAAGAGCGAGGGAGCTAGAACGACAGAGGCAGCGTGAACGTGAGCGTGAGGAAGAACGTGAGCGTGAACATGAGCGACAAAGGCAGAGGATTCGTGAACTTCGAACCAAAAAATCGAAATCGAAAATCTATACCGTCGGACTTATTTTGGTTGCAATTAGCTTGGCTCAGTTAATTGTCCTGAAAGTGTTAGATGTCGATTTACAAAAGTACGTGCCGGTGCCGGGATTCGTTTGGATGATGGTTGCTTTAATTTGCATGACCATAATGATCTGCACCGATCTCTTTAGCGTATATCCCATCAACTGGCTATTGGCAATCCTAATTGTGGAGGTGGTTACCTTTGGCGTCGCTGTTGGGCGTTGGACTCTCGTTACAATGGAGGTGGCTTTTATGGTTGTGGGCATAACTCTGTTTATAACCATACTACTACATTTACTTGGCGCCTTCTGCCCGCTATATATGTTGCCAGGCACTATAGCCATGTTCATACTGATCGCTGCTTTTATCATAGTATTTCTTGCGCTGCAAGCCTTGATGTACTTCAGCCATGATCAGAGCTATCGTATTTATATTGATGTTACTCTTGTAGTATGGATAGTGTCTGTGACGGTTTATAGCGCCACAATTATTCACGAACGTCGTGCAGAGTCTATTACTGACGATTTTCTAATGTCAGCCATGTTTATAACGGTGTTTTATATGATCCTTCTAAGCGCTTTAATTTCGATAGCACACTTTTTACTGATGGACGAACCCGATACTAGGAAATTTAAATATTTGGTTTAGCTGATGTTATTTTATGATTAAAATAAAGGTTATCTAGAAAAGGAGGACAAATATAAGTAACAACTGCATTCATTTCTGAAGCGGCTAAGCAAACATCGAATTATGGTTTTGGTGGCGTTATGGTGACCTGAAACCCATATATGGTTCAGAGCATACTGCTTAATTATCAGATTATAAGATAGTTGACCTTTGTTTTCAGAAAATAAATCTATATCTATCTATATTTCCAGTTTTCATTAATTTTGAATGTGCAAAATGTTATAAATGTTGATTATATTTTTTATATGATGTACTTAGATGTTGGTCTACTAAGGTCCTATGTCGCTAAGAATTTTCGTAAAGTCTGCATCAGCCAACATCAACATAGCTCTGATCTGTAGAATTTGTCTATCTTCATGACATTTACATTTCCAGATACAGTCGTCATTGTATGTATATTTATGAAAATATTGGTTTCTTATTAGATTTTGGGATAATTGTATGTGTGGACGAGTCTCTGGAGAATAGCTGAAATGTATTATTAAAAACGTTTCTTACAACAACAACACGCAAAAGTCTGCCGACAGGAAAATAACTTACAGGCAAATCCAACAAATTTCCCATCTTTGCCAATGCCTTAAACAGATTTGTTACCTGTCTAATCGTAATAACACAATATATTTACATAATAATACATAAATATATCGGGCTTTTTTTTTTAGTTTATTTCAATTGCTGATTAAGCCTTTTATCGAACTTGATTGGGAATTATTTTAAGCAGACAAATGAAAAACAAAAATATTGAAATGTCCAGAGGTGTATCTTTTATTTAATTTAATTGCCTCTAAGTTATTTGATTGTTTTGCCCGTCTCGGTTGTAATGTTGCGTTTGCGTTTGTTGAAAAACAGACAGGATCTCGGTAATGCCACCCAATTTGTTAAAGTCAATGAACGAATGCCAAGTTGCTGTTGCTGTGGTTGGAGATACGGGTTGGGCCAAGGTCGCATAGTTTGTGTGCACCCAGAGGATTCCTAAAGCAAAGCAGACCGAGTGCACACGGATTTTCGATGTCTGCAGCCTTAACAAATATTTTGAGTCACTAATCTTGGCTTGAACTGTTGCCAAAATATCTTTCTGCCTAATTTATTCCCAAAGGAAGAACTATATATAAATATTATATTTTTGAAATTATCATAGCTTTGAGACCAGCGTGAATAAAAGGTTGAAAGACTAAAAACTTTTAGCTAAAAGCATCTGCCAGGCAAAGAACATTAGTGTGAACACCAAGACAAAAAAAAGGACGAAGATAAAATATAAATAAATCTGTTTGTAAGCTTTAAATTTGTGTTCACGAAATATATTTGACGCAGCCGCGGGCCAATTTTTTTTGTGCAATCGTCCAGAAACTGAAGAAAGATGAACGAAAAATGCACGCGATATCACAAGTTGTGACCAAACGTGTGGATAATAAAATGTTCTCAACCTAAGTTTGTTTGCATTTGCAAAAAAGAGGAGTCGAAATTGGCCGCTAGGCAGCAAAAAAGGCGCGTATTTGCGATTCTAATCTCATGGCATGGGATAAATGGCATGGAATGTTGGTAAATGGGTGTGAAAGAGAAATGAATTTAATTTGCATATGGAGAAGCTGTCAGTTGTCAGAAAAGTTGTTTTTCGTGCGAATTTATTTAAAGCAAAAAACACAAAATCTTTCAAGCAAATCGGAAGATATAAATAAGTAGGTTTACAGTGTGATTTTGTTATTAACTAACAATAAAAAAGAGCTCATTTTTTCATAATTTCCATTTAGTAGGTACTAGTATGTTATGGATCAGAAGCGTCTCTTTGCACAAATTGGCTTGCTTGACTGCAAGAACTTCTCGATTTCAAAGTCTAATAAAAATAAAGTTAATTTTAATATGTTTACCAAATCAACAAACAGTTCATTTTTTTCAAAGCTTTTAAATATACTCTTGATTTCGAACAATTTTCCCGTAAACTCTCATTTCTCGGTTTCAAAGTCTAATAAAAATAAAGTTAATTTTAATATGTTTACCAAATCAACAAACAGTTCATTTTTTTCAAAGCTTTTAAATTAACTTTCAAAATTTCAAAAAAAAAAATCTCTTTTATGTCTATTGATGCAATTAAACATCTTATGAACTTATCAATAATAAGAACAGCCTTTTATTTCAGCTGGGACTGCTTACCTAGCGATTAACTATTATCAGAGAAAGGAAGATATGCTTCTTAAGCTTTTGTTTGCCTATACAGTTGATATAAAAGGCTATATTAGTTGGCAGTTGTCGTTGGTAAATTTCAAGACTTAAAGCTTACAGATCTTTCAATTTACAGAAATTACTTTTTCTAATCCAAAATTAATTTCAACTACTGCATCAAAAAGGACAAACAAAAGTGTTTAACGTAAACATATCTTCTTATATACTCGTACTTTTTTATGTCGTACTTTATTCGCTGTCTGTTCAAACTGTCTCCAATCTTAATCAAAAATCGGACACACATCGATGATGGCACTTGAAGGGTCATCAGTATAGTTGTTGTTGTTGTCGTTGTCATCAACATTTTCAGGGCCTTTTGTTGACTTTGTGTGATTTTCAATTAATCTGTTGGCTGCAGAATCTCCTTGTTATTGCAGACATTGCCGTTGGGACACATGCCCTTTTTTATTGGTTTGGTTTGATTTTTATTCAATGTAATTACCGTTGGAAGAATCTTTGATATAAAGTAGAGCCAGGCGAATAGATAGACAGGCTGACAGACAGTTAGACATGTAGAACGCCGAAAAATTGTCATTTGGGGCATTCAATTATGCATTATATTTAATGCAAGTGTTGAATTACTAGACACAGTCGCCCACATGTGAGCGTCTATAATTTCATGACATAATTATTATTCCCTTTAGATTTGAACTGTCTAGCGTAATTGGAATGAATCGTTTGGATATTGATACCTCCCGAGAGACCGAAAGGTAACAGACAAATTGATAACAATTTGTAAGCAAATTTATTCACTTGTCTTCGGACAAATGGTGTGCTCAATCATTCTCAGTATGTTTGTTATGTCAACGCCAAAGATTTATCACAAGCAACACAACAGAGAGAAATAATATTATAGAAACAAATGCCGGCATTAAGCATGGGTTACTGAGACACATTCCCCCATAGAGCAAACCCTAACCACATCCTGTCGCTTCAATGTTAATGCTATTCAAGCTATGGCTGCTCCTTGCCGGTGGCAAAAACTTCCAGCAACGGAATGCAAAAAGTTGCAAACTGTTTGACAAATGTCAGAGAACAAACTAGACAGCAACAACGGATGCTCGACTATACTATACATATATTCGCTACATATATGTGTCCCAGTAAAGCAAGGAAGAGAGACAAGGAGAGAGGGAAAGAACGCAAAATATGAAAATTCAACTACATGTTAAAGGTAAAGGATATAATGCCGCAAGATATTACTAGCTAATGAGTTATATGAATTGGTTAAGAGTTGTCTTACAGTGGATATAACTTAAGAAGTTAAAATAATGTAAAAGATGACAGCTTAATTAGAATGAAAGACCTAATAACACACGACATAACTAATTTGTTCTATGAATAGTATTATGAATACATAAGCATACACTGAAGCTAGTGAAGACTATATAATATAAAAGCCTATTTAAAGACTTGGGCGTCTTGGCGCACGATTTGGTTGTCTTATTATAACTACCTAGGTAGTTTAAAAATCGATTTGAGTCGTTTTGTTATAATTAAATAGTCTTTGTCTAAATGTCTTTGATAAAAGCAGCAATAAGGGTCTAGAAGAATACTACAAAAATGTTGGTGCTAATATAAATGCTTCATAATTTATTTTATCCCTTTTCCGCATTCATTTCCCATATTCTTGAATTATGCAACCAAAATTTTTGTTTCATTTTAAAGGGAAATTTGAAAACGAGTCTTACAAACGATTTTTAACTCTACTAGATTCTTTAGTTGCGATCTAACTTTATTTAACACTTTAGCCTTCTCTTTCTAGAAATAACTAAATCATTTTAAACTCATTGCCCTATGGGTCGTATAAGTAATATATTTTTTTTATAATTTTTACATAATGGACTTAATTGTTTGTTTAATCATTAGATGTGCTTTCATAATATAAATATAATAAATATAAGGTACCAATTTTATACTAATATTCTACAACACAGTCTGCAAATACTTTCACAACCTTTTCGACCTAGCAATACCTGCCAAAAAGTACATACAAATACCATTTTAAAAATGTTTGCAATCAGAGAAATTAAAACTTTAACAATTATATGCATGTTTGTCTCTTCAAATTGATGTTCGCGAACTTTTCAAATACCAAATTTCCAAATGCTCCCTAAACGTCGCACTTTATTGTCGTCGGCAATTCAAAACAACCATATTGACTCCAGTTGTGCCCAAGGTAAAAAAGTTGATATGTAATAAAAAGGAAACAACGCAAATCAGCTGCCAATGGCAACTTCAATAATAGGTTTGTAAGTCATCTTGTGCGTTTTGTTATCTAGTTGAGTGCTCCGCTCGGCGACAATCCTTAACAGCTTAAAGCTGGCAAGCTTAAACACATCCAGGCATCAAGTGTAATGTTTGATAAATGACCTTAATCAGTTGTAGTCAAGGTGTCAATCCACTAGATGAGTTAAAGGAAGACTTTTTACCAGCCATTCGTGACATTTGTGGGCAAAATGCTTACTCCTACGAACAACTTAAAAAAGATTGCCTATTGTGTTTCATGTTTGTTTACCGTGAAATAAACTGCCTCAGGCAAAATAACTCATTGCCAAGTAAGCAGTAATGCGACGATATCGAGATAACTTAACAGGAAGTTACCTTTTGATTCGAAGTAAAGTACTTACAGAGAATGCTCCCTTATTAAGACTGTTCAGAGCTTGAAGTATTTTACAAATTTCTAAAGGGCTTTTAAATAACATTTTAATTTTTTGTATAAAATATATATTTATTAATTTTCG